AGCTACTCTGTGGAAGAAAAATGGGGCAGTCTGCTTCCATAAAGATCTATAGCCTTGGAAACCCGGTGGGGGTCACTGTGAGTCGCAGTTGACTCAATGGCAGTGAGTTTGGTTTTTTGAGTTTTGACACTTAAATTATTTGCTCAAAAAAAATAATTTTATGATTCCAAGTGTATTTTTGTTTCAGAAAATAAAAGTTAGTGATCATCTCTTTATTCAACAAATTATAATCATATTTCTACGTGCAAGGCACTGTTTCAGGTGCAGGAGATACCGCAGTAAGCAAAATAAACAAAGTTCCTTCCTCAAAGAACTTACTACTTTCTAGTGGAAAAAATTAGAAGTAGAGTTGTTTACTTTTAGTTGTTACATTCTAAAGTACATACATTTAATTTGATTACTCATGATTTGCCTTAAGCTTCATTTTAGTAAATTTTGAGCACAGTATATGAATTATATTTCATTCCTTTGGGAAAAGGAAAAAAAATCACTTTACAAAATAATTAATGAATTTCTGAGTTTCTTGAGACAATGACAATGACTGCTTTTCTCATTTATTTTAATTAATGTCATTTGCCTTTCACTTGTTTTACAAAATTTTTCATTATCTGTTCTTACTAAATTGCTTCATCCATATTTTCTATTTTTTTTTTATTGCTGTATTCTTTAAATAGGATTCCTTTTCTTCTTCCTCATCTTCACTGATTGATTTTTTGGATGACGTAAGTCTTTGATTTTCAAACCAATGCATCCTTCAGTAAAAGAGATCAGTGAATTGATTTGAAGAATTTCCCAGTAATGCAGTCAGTTTTAGAAATATTATACTTCAAAATTTTTCTGTGGGCCAAAATATGCTTCTTTCTTAAGTATAATGAAGTATTTATCATTAAGAATAATAAAGTGAAAAGTATACTTTGCAAAATACTTTGGCCATCATAGAATCTCTGTATTTCCATTTTTGTAACATTTCTAATGACTAGGATGCTTGATTTTTGTCATTCTATAAATAAGTAATTGCTCGTTTTTATCTTTCATGATGATTTCTATTTTACTTCCCCCTCCTCTTTTTAGCACTTAACTATTTAATTTCTGTGTTTCTTAAAAATAAATCCTCTGGTAGAGTGAGCAGAAAAAGTGATACTCATTATTAAATTATCTGATATATTTTATCACTACACAATAATAGAGTACAAATCAATTCTTAATGCTGGCAGAATTTCTCTTCTAAGGTGGGCAGTGATTTCAATTAATATATGTACTATAAATTGACTGCATTATCATTTCCTCTCCTGAATTAGTTCTATAGATTTAATAAATTAGAAATTCCTGTAAACTGTGTATCATTCATTCTCTTTACAGTACTGCCTGGCATATGCATTGTCTTTATTCTACATTAAACAACCCAGTAATCCTTGTTGCAAAGCATTTTATTATTCTGTTTAACATTCAGTCTTTCCAGCAATGGAGAAATAAAATGAGTTCAAGTGTATTTGAACTGTTTTTAAAACCAAAGGAAAGTCTTTAAGTGTTTTTAATCCTATGTCTTGTTAAATAGAGTATATATTATCTTCAGAAGACTATTTAGAACAGTTTTCCAATATAAGAACCTCTTGATTTGGGATTTTTTTTTTAAACTACTATTATTTAAACCCTCCCTCCAAAAAAAGATTTTTTAATCTGTTTGAAATAGTTTTACCAAAATCTGTGCATTTCTATTCTAAATGGAAACTACTTTATTAATCTTGAGATAAAGAATTGTTCTGATTAATTCTACAGTATGATAAAAAGAGGATTCTCTTTATGCACAACTGTATTATATTCTGCTGTTCACTGTATTGCAATACTCAATATGGTATTTCCATACAACTATCGTTCACCTTAAAAAGAATAGAAAGACATTTTAATAAATTTGGAACAAATCACCTAACCTTGCAATGCCCCAGTTTGCTCCAATGATAATAGAACCAATCTTATAAGAGTATCTGAGGATTTAAAGGAACAGTATATGTAATGCCCTCACTGATAAGGTTATTATTGGCTTACTCTTAATAAACAGGTTCCCCTCTCTTGCTATATTCTTTTCTTTCCTTTTTTTTTTCTCTCCTGTCAATTCAATTTTGCTTCAGCACTTTCTTACCTCTTCACCACTGAGCCTTCCACTCACCACCAGTATGAATCACTTCTCTTTTGAAATGTCAATTCATGTTACTATGTAGAAAATTATTTTTATCTGTCAAGAGGAAGGTCAGCAGTAAGCTCCCAATTTATATGGTATGGTACAAACCTCTTCTTTGTCTTCCCAGTTCACAGGCTTGACCTTCCTTCTCAGAGTTATCATCCACTTTATCCACAAAGTCACAGTAGAATGAAGTCCTGAATAATAGTATTCAATCTCTGGCATGCGTGGGGTCAGTATCCAAGATATTTAGAACAAAATTCAAGCTCTATAGCTTCCTTTCTGTTAGGCATTTGAACTTTTAAGAAATAAATTAGATCTTGATTGTTCTTATGTGCCATACCAGTTAGATTGCTGTGCATGTGCCTAAATATAATAAGAGGACTATAGCTAGTAGACTCTAATCCTCAATTAGCAAATAAGCATCTGTCTGGTCATTCTGTTCTGTTTTCTGTCTCATTGCTATAGAAGGGAAGAAGATTATGTTGAAGACTTAAAATTTGAATATAGCTGGAAGCTATAAGAATAGGAAGGAATAAGAATAGTATTAGGCAAAAGGGAATTTTCTTTGGTGTTCATGCATGATTTACATTCTCCCTCTGCCCCTACGAGTGCAGTACTCTTAAGCTGCCCTCTGACTATTCAAAGCTTTTCCACTGTGCCTTCTGTTCTCTAAAATTACCTTATACTTTTCTCCTTAACTCTCCCTTATGGACCTATTAAAACTGTATTTTATTGGTTTATTTAAAACAATACTGTGTGTTTTGCCTGAATTTCAAAATTCAAATGAATGATGAGATTTTTGGTAATATGGAAGATGTTCCAAGCAGAATGTTTTCATTTTAAGTCACCCTGTTCAGATGGTATCATTACGTATAAGAGTAGCCTTGTCAGAAGAGGAGTACATGTAGCGCTAGTCCCTTCCACTCCCCTGGAAAAATGAGAGGAAAGCAACTAGGTAAAGCAGAATACATTCTCAACACACTGCT